TATGAGACTGGTCAGTGCTGGGTGGACCCGTGACCAGCTGGCCCGGGCAAGGCATTGACGCAGTCAGTGGAGAGGCCAGGTTGCTCTCAGAGAGAGAGAGGGTAGTCTGATTGAGGCCTGGGTCAACCTGTCAATGACTTTTTATATGGCCGGTTGCAACCTAGGCTGCTTGGGTTATATTAGATTGCAGGCAGACAACCATAGCCCACACAGGCACAAGCAGGTATGGTGCCCATGTAAGAATGATTATGGTATGCCGTATTGCTCGTACAAGATGGCATACTATGTACATATAACCAAAGCCAACCTGGGTTGTGACCAGCCATAAAAAAGGTCATCAGCAGGTTGACCCAAGCCTCACTCAAACTCGCCCTCTCTCTGAGAGCGACCCTGCCTCTCTGCTGACTGTGCCAAATGCGCGGCTGGACACGGATCCACCCAGCACCTGAGACCTGTCTCATATCGTCTTTATTTCTACTTGTGTGTAACTCTCATAACCTTTTCAATATGGGATACCATAATCATGCTTACGTGGGCGCCATGCTCGCTAGTGCCCGCATGGCCCACATGGCAAAAGTGGGACATGGCGCCCATGGAAGCATAATCATGGTATGCCAAAGTGATGAGTGTTGTGCATGTGTGTGTGTGTGTGTGTGTGGGGGGGGTATGTATGTGTGTGTGTCTGTTTTAAATATGTGTATTTTTTCGTTACTGATTGGCCTTTCTCAATCTAGCAATACTAACATAAAAAAGAGGCAATGCATTATTCTCCTTACACTTTGATATGAAAAAGTGATGTAATTAGGAAAGTACACAAGACCATTTTTGACAAATATATCCATATAATTAAGTATCATTAACATACCAAGAGCATTAAGTGCAAATAAACTTTCTTTTCCTTTTTCCTACTCTCTCACTCTCTCATTCTCTCTATGAACATCTCTCTTACACTCTCTTGTATTCTCTCTCACCTCCCTCTAATGTTCTGCACAATGTACAATGAATTCAAAGAAAATGCTGTGCTTTCTGGGAATCTTGTGTCAATTCATCTAACATCATAAAAGACAAAAACCTACACAATGAAAACTTACAAAACACATGCAGTAATACAATGTCTAGTACATATGCACTACACTATGTAAATGGCCCAACTGATCAAAAAGAAGAAGATGAAGAACAAGAGATGAAAGAAGAGAGATGAAAGAAGAGAGATGGAGAGGAGAGAGGAGAGGAGGAAAAGGAGGAGGAGGAGAACGAGGTAGAAGAGGAGGAGGAAGAGAAGAGGTAGAAGGGAGGAGGAGGAGGAGGAGGAGGAGGAGGAGGAGGAGGAGGAGGAGGAGGAGGAGAGGAAGAGAGGTGGAAGGGAAGGGAAGGGAGGGAGGGTAGGAGAGGTGGAAGGAAAGGAGGGAAGGTAGGAGAGGAAGAGAGGTGGAAGGGAGGAGAGGAGAGGGAAGACGAGAAGAGGATGAGGAGGAAAGGAGGGAGGAGGGAAAGAGGGAAGAGAATGAGGAGAATGAGGATTGAAGTTGAGGAGGAGGAGGAGGGGAGGAGGAGGAGGAGGGGGGAGGAGGAGGGGGGAGGAGGAGGAGGAGGAGGAGGGAGGAGAGGAGGGAAGGATGGTGGAGTAGGAGAAGAGGAGGAGGAAGATAGTGGGAGTAGGAGAAAGAGGGAGGAGGAGGAGGAGGAGGAAGGATGGTGGGAGTGAGAAAGAGGAGGAGAGAGGAGGAGGAGAGGAGGAGGAGGAGGAGGAGGAGGAGGAGGAGAAAGAGGAAAGAAAGAGAAAAAGAAATAAAGAAAGAAAAAAAAGATAGCGAGAGAGAGGGGTGGGGTGAGGGGGAAGGTAGCATGAAAGGAAGGGAGAGAGTAGAGGAGTGAAGGAGAATGAGATGGAGGGAGTGAGGAGGAGAAAAGAGAGAGGGATTGTAAAGGGAAGGATTGGGAGATATAGAGGCAAAATATAGCAAGCAAGGAGGAAGTGAGGAGGAACGAGAGAGAGAGAGAGAGAAACATACCCATGCATGTGACAAGACTACACAGAAATTCTCGCTTACCTCTATGCTACGTGTTGCAAACTCAACACCAATGGTGGATTTGGATTCCAGATTGAATTCATTCCTTGTGAACCGGGATAATAGGTTACTTTTACCAACACCCGAATCTCCAATTAACACAACTGTAAAAGAAAAGAAAAGAAATGGTTGGCTATGTTATATACAGTCACATTATATATATTACTGTTCCCAGGGCTGAATAATAAAAAAGAGAATATATGTTTCCTTCTAAAAGATTTAGTAAAGCAGGAGAGGAAATATTAATTGCATTTTTTTCTTTTTCTTTTAAGGTTAATGCTCATCCTGTGCATGGCTTTTCCAAATTAACTTCTTTGGCATATACATTATTGGGGAGGGGGGGGAGCACAGGACACATTTCCACTCATTTCCATATGTTGCCTCACACAGTGTACAATGGTCCATGAAGAGAATATAGAAATAAAAAGAGGGTGTAAATGTTGCACAGAACTGATGCTAATGCATGGAATTATGTCATAGTCATTCCTCTCCTGACAGCATTTGAGTTTCTGTCAAGTGGATTCTGTAAGCCCCTGCTCTCTCGGTGAAACAAAAGTGAACAGTAATGCTTTATCTTTTCAACAACAATATTCATATTAAGTATATGCATATAAATCAATAAGTCAATAACCAAATTAAAAAATAAATGTAAAAATAAATACATGATATCTTTAACATATCCATATACTCACAAACATATCATGAGTATCACACAGACGCAAACATCCACCCTTTACACACACTCACATAAGGAACACATACATCAAAGGGGGGGAGGGGATAGTACTTTAATCTGACGAAGCTTTAGGAAAGAGATCACTGACTCCTCCACACGTGCGATTTCTCCTGGCTACAATGTACAAACTATATGAACTAATATCCTATGATACCAGCTCCCCCACCCCAAATCCATGTACCCCAAGAAGACAGAATGAAAGAAAGAATGGACGAATGAAAAATAAGAAAGACAGGAAGAAATAAACAAAGACAGAAAGAAAGAGAGAAGGAAATAAAGGAAAAAAAGAAGATAGCTAACTAAGAGTCTAACAATAACACAGGAGAAGCTTTCACTGTAATTCACTAGTTAAAAGGGGAAAAAAGAAAATATATAAAAAAGAAACAGAGAAAATACATGAAGCAAATTGCACACATGATCTAGAGAATTCCATGATGTACAAATGGTAACATATATGAAGCAATCTAAATTTGTGCAACTGGCCAGCTTAGCTGACTTATGAATACTTCTATTAATATTAAAGTCTCAACGTGATCTCAACCAACTGTTACCAGAACAGCAAAAATACATGCCATGCCCACTGTCTCTTCTTTCTCGTTTATCGAAAGTCTTTACACACACATGATAAAACATATGTTTCATCACCAAGGAGTCAATTACTAGTACTAGCTAGCTCACCTGTTTACCCTTTTCCTTCATTAGCAAAGAGAATCTTTACTTTTTATTGCTATTAGTATTATCAATAACATTATAATAATCATAATGTCAATCACAACAAAAACATTAATATTAATAACATTCAAAGAAACATATTCTTCCCAAAAACTTAAGGAAAGGGAAAATCAGCTGAGGACATGTAGGCCTACTAATTGGCTCCTTGGTGGATGAGTACTTACAGAGCCACCTCTGTGTAAACAAAAATCACAAAAGAAAACAAGAGTAGACTGTGATTATCTGGCACCATTGGGTTAATCTTGTTAGTGTGAGTGTGTGTGTCTTATACAAATTCATATAGTAGAAATCACTATCCCATGACATTAACAAGTAATACTGTCACCACTTTGCCAACACTACCATTCCTATTCCCTTGCATTTTCCCTATACCCTTCTAAGACCGTACATCTTCTGTAAGAGTGAGAAGCACAGTTAGCAGAAAAAGTGTTAGAATGCAGCTGCAAAAAAAATCTTGTAAGCAAGCCAACAAAATGTGGATACCCAAAGACAAATAAAACTATAAATCACGGGTGTAAGACCAAAAATGTTAGATGAATTAGGTCAGAAAACAATCACGAGAGGATCATGTAAACTGGTCAACAATATGGAAACAAATGTATATGAAGTATGACTGCCAATCAGGCCTACTGTGCATGGAGAGACAAACGTGTTCAATCAGATAGAGAGAGTAATTGGGCTAGATGCCTTTAGCTCTCATTTCTGCCAAAATCAATTATGTCCCCCCCCCCCCTTCCCTTACTCTCCCTGAATGTCTGCTTCTTTCCCTGACATTTAGGCAAGAATGTAAACAAAGATTTGTCACTCAGCAACAGGAAATTTACACAAAAAATAATCTTAGTTTATAAATGTCAAGTTTATCTATAAACAAAAACTTTCCAAGCGATGCCTCCCAACTAAAGTCACAAAGTAAACTGGAGTGCAAAGCATGAAAGATAAGATATATATAATGGTCACATTAAGAATACTCAATTTCTTCTCTCTCACTCACCCTTTCTCACATACATCACATTTGCCAGGCAATAAAGATCATTATCCCAACAGAAAGACAAGGGTCAAAAGCATAGGGTTTACAACTAAAGGGTGGAATGAGTTGTCATGAGCTGTTATCAACTCAATATAAATGCATTATTTGTATTACTAGTATCTTTCATGTAAAATAATTCCCAGGCTTATGGCACTAGATTCACAAAGCTCAAAACATTTTGGTGTACCACTCTCTTCCCAACAAACAACCTAGACAAGACAATAACAAATTCCGACATTTCTCTTCCTTTATCCTTTTCTTTAAAATATCAATACACTATATGAATGAAAGATTTATGAGACAAATTGCACTGCACAGGCAATAGCCAAACAATAACAATGATAGTGTTACACCCCAGATACTATGTTTGGCTTTACAAAACATAACAGCAGAAACAGTGTTGTTGTTTTCAATTTGAGGCCTCTTCATGATGTACAGAAAACACTATAACACTGTATCTTACGTTACCACTACACAGCAGCAGTCTAATGCACAAGCTGCTGATAGCTTTGGTAATGATGATATATACAGCACTCAGCTTAAACATAGGAGGGTATATGTAATATGTAAATCTAAATCTTGTTACACACAATTTTTGCATATAAATAATAATGGTTTAGTTATATTTCAATAGCGTTACATGAGACAAGAGACAACTCACAGTAAAGGTTAATACTTTTTGCACAATGTCCATAGATTTTTTTTTACAAATAAATTATGATCAATAAAAATATCTACAATTTTTTTTTTAAATAACTGTGCACTCTTATAAAAATAGGGCATTCCTTATAGGCCAGCAAATACAGTAATTACAATATAACTTCAAACTACTGCTTCAAAATAAAAGCAAACAATATATACACAAATAAACTACTTGTCACACCTAAGGTTGATAGTGATCAAACAAGCAAGATTAAGCAGCTGATATAATGTGTCCCCCCTTGGATATTGTATCATTTTCTCTTAAAAATCGCTGATATAATTTTTAGAAATACAGAAAAAGGGGAGAGAAAAAAAATCAACAACCAAATAAGGATGTACCTGAATTTAATAAAGGGTAATCTACTCAGAGCATATCTTCCCAATGAGTCTGATACTGTTTAATGTACCTTTTTTGCTTCCAACACCTGCAATAACAAATTCTGCGGTTACATGCTTCCCTCACAAGATTCTCTGGCAATACACTCAAACTAGCAGTATGATGATGAGGCATCTAGTATGAAAGGGCCTTGTACCTCCTCTGACTAAAGCTATTAGATAATCCTGCCTTTGTCCACACTTCTCTTTCAGCTACAGATTTTTAAAAGGTCAATCTATTATGTGGTGAATTCATGTGCACCCTTGAGCTATAATATGGGTTTTATTATGCCTACCAATAGATTCTGTGGCCAAGCTAAGAGTCGCTATATGTGACCTATTTTACCCCTAAAAGACATGGGCAGATCCTTGAGTGGGTATTTGATTTTCTCTCCAAGAATGACAAGCCTTACACGAGCACCTTCCACATCCAAAAATTTGTGCGCACCATGATAAATCTAGTTAGTAGGGTCATATATTATAACCACATCTTTCTCATTCTTTTTCCCCTCTCCCACTTATCCAGCCGGCACTTTCTGCTCCCCTTGTCCCCACTCTCCTCCTGCTCCTCAGTCTGTCATTCAGTATTTAGTGCCTAGTGGGAATTTGCTGAAATCTCTTTACTTACATCACTAATGTTACATAAAATCATCTAAAATTTTCTTTTATACAAATTATTCTGTGGCTGTGATTAGGAATGGAATGACATCTATTTCAATTGAAAAACATGACTTGGGCAAAATAATTCATTCACTTGGCATCAACCTAACCTGAATGATAGATGATATCTTAGCTTACTGCTGTCCCAGGTGTGCATATGCTGCAACTTACATGTAATGTAAATAGCATTATCACCTTTATTTTCCTAATCATAAATGTAACTTTAAAGAAATCCTTGCCAAATGCAATCACCGTAATCAAGCCTCTGATTCTGAATTAAAATAGGCTTTATGAATATATAAAAATATTTGGTTACTGTAACAACACTATAAACAGTAAATAATGAACCAAATACATAGCCCTCCAGAATCTCTGAAAAGATCACCAATGCATTATCTATATACAGGATGATCTTCCAACAACAAAACGGCATGTTAACTACTGGACTCCCGTCTGCTTATTTCCAATATCATAGTTTGAAAAACAAACAAACAAAAAAACACTTATTTCCTCATGAAACACATAAAGAACACAAGTATTGAATAACATACACAAAAGGCATCCTTCTATTCTATTTCATCTTTCGTTTGCGAGGATCAGATACCAAGACCAGATTTTCAAGAGTTATACCCATTCTCTAAAAAACAAGCAAGTGGATCATTGTACTGTTAAGCCAATTCCTAATGTCCTTCAAGGTTGTTTTAGCATGAGGTATTTCCAGTGTCTAAATGCTTTGCCTATCCAGTCAAAGCTGTATATCTCTTTATGTTCTGTATTAGCCACAGAAAAACCATAAGCAAACAATGAATTTGGTTTAGTACATACATAATTTTGCCCTCACACTGTTGAGAGAGAAACTCTACACTACATCCCCGTATGTTCCTTCCTTCACTTTAAAGATGATGTAACTAAAGAGATTCATCTCTTTTACATCACATTTCTTCATAAATCTACGTTGTTTTTAAAACAACAATCCGAAACCTTGCAAAAACAACTCAAGCACTAAACTGAAGACAAGGTGACTGATCTAATGCATGAATTTATGTTTAATATTTGCCTTGGTGGGAAATGACTCAGCTGCCTGCCATGCTTATATGATGCAATGGATCTACATTATGGCTCATTTCAGAGATGCCTTGTTGAAGGGGCAATATTCACTATTACAGAGAAAGAAAAAGAAAAGAAAGAAATACTGGTGACTCCAGAGGGATAACCAAATGATTAGTCACTAAAAATATAATGTTATTTCCTTCACTTTCAGCTATGTTTCCTTTTCCTGCCATGGAACGCAAAAGCAATATCTGGATTTGC